AGCACTGTCGATTTCGCGACTTCCGCGTTCGGTCCAGCAGAAAAGCGAGATTCCGAGTTGCTACAGATTCGGAAACGTAGCTGCCTTGTACGTCGCACAAGTTGTTCATGATCAGCCTGGAAATACTCCTTACTAGACTCCATGCATTTGTTGAAAAGGAATTGGGGGAATTTAATGATACATCACGATAATTTGACCTAATTTATCAACTTCTTTATTATCGTGGCCTGCAAGCTTCACTTGCATTCAAATCAAACTTGGTAATTTAGGAAGTTCAATTTCAAAGTTTTGTTACCTTTGAAACCTGGACGCCTCCGGAGGGCAAGTGCTGGATACGACAAGGGGCGTTTCCCAGGTAGCTGTTCCGCCTGCAGGGAGAGCAAGGGAATCACTCCATTAGTCCCTTGGTTGTCATGTTACATGGGAAGATAACGACTGCTGTATTGAATCGCTTTAGCGAGCGTTAGAGATACAATTCAAATGTCTGAAATTTAGGGAAGGAAATTAATGGCATAGTTAGGTTCTGGTCATAAATTCAACGGTTAATTGGGTAGAGAAAATTTTATGGCGAGTCAATATTTTCTACCAAGAATTTGTTGTTGTTTATAGTGGTCAATACGCTTAGCTACACGTAGCTAGTTCACAGGCAAGCCACTTTAAATGAAGGAAACAAATACATCAACTAAACGTAATAGGTTTAAAAATCCCAACCGGTGGGAGGCAGACCAGTTGGCTATTTACAACCATGACCGAGGAGTTGAACTAGGGTCTACCGAGAAACAGCTCCAGCTAAGTGGTCAGAGCGGGACTTGAACCTGCGACCTCCGGATTTCAAGTCCTACGCCCTAACCACTCGGCCACGCTGCCTCCTCCTTTATTTCATGAATCGACCAACAGTGTTGTTACTCCTGCGATGCAGTTCCCCATCCAGGTACCACCTTTTACTTCACCCAGATTCGCAATTAGCCAATCAGACGCAGTATGCACTGATGTCCTGATCATATCCTGCCATATCACGTCATTGACCTTTAAAAACAAACAAACAAACAAATGTATACTGACCCAGAGGACACACTCTCTTTCCGCTACACTTATGAGTGAGAATATCATTGTAGTAAGTAAACTCCATGTAGTCTTTAGAACACTCTGGTGTGTCCTTCATGTAAACAAGTCGCGTATTATCTGCTGGATTGCAGTTACCACTTTCAGGTTGGAGACAAAAACTGCCCCCGCTAGATCTGATAGGACTTTCTGCAAAAGAACGAAGCGTTAGGGTAGATAACTAAGAGACAGTTCATGTCCAAGAAGGGACTAAGAAAGCATCGTCACTGTAAAATCATGGTTGATTTTAGCCTTTTCATATATAAGTCGTCATTCAGGTTAGTTATAATCTCTCACTGGTTGAGGGGGAGGGTAACCCGGAACACTGCAATAGATTAACATCCCATTTACGTGGAAGTAGAAATACTACTAGTCCCTTAACACTGCAAAAACCAAGATAAGCGATATTAGAAACAGTGGCCTGATGCAGACTTTTGTGGTTTCCGTCACGGCAACTCTAACTGTTACGTCAATAAACTCAGAGAGCAACGTTGATACACAAGAAAAAGTATCCATGGTTCACTTAGCAAATTTTAAACGCGTTTAAGTTTTCGTGTGAACGGCACGATGTTTATAAACTATCTTTCGTAAACTATCTTACTTGGGCAGACCATACACCCCTGCTCTTGCTTAGTAACCACGCCACTGCTACAGGGTTCCCCGCCACATCTAGGAGCAGGATTATTACATTGCCTGACACGTGTCTGTACACCTCTGACACACATTCTACTGCAGCTTGACCAGGGAGTCCATTCTGATAACCCTCCATTAACTGCATGCAAAAGGAAAGGATAAACAGAACATAAATAGTATTTTAAAGGATTTCTGCTCCGAAGTGTTGTTATTCGTTTTTTCAACATCAAAAAGAAAGGAAACTGACCGTTAGGCGACTTTCAAACTTCAAAATTTTTCAATGAACCCATGAGTGAGTGTGTACAACTGCAAGTTTCAAATCACAATTCAATAAAGTAAGACATTTAATACTACATTTAGAAATGATGACAGAGGTGATAGTTTCGGCTTTCGGCCTCATCAACTATCACCTCATAGAAATCTCCGGCTCATGATCTAATTGTTAAATAGGAATCAAAACAGCTTCGAACGCTGACAGGTAAATTGTGTTCCATGAATGGTTGTTTGCGGTATCAGTACACTCACCTGGGTTACGACTCTGGTCACAGTCATCTTCGTTCACCCAGTACCAGATCACACCAGGATTCGCCATGACACCGTAGATCCAAGGCGCTGGATTATTCGATTTTTTCTCGGAGATAATTGATCCCCAATCGGAATAATCCGAGTGAGTGGAGGTTGTTAGTAAGCTCTGCCTCGCACCCAGCCAGGGCATGCGCTTTTCAAGCGAGTCTTCCCAGTTGTAACGCCATTGGTTGAAACGTTTCACCAAAGTGACATCTGTTTGTTCGTTGGTTTGACTGACAAAGCTATCAAGCCATAAAATGACACTTACATCACATAGCACACAAAAACGGATGAAATCTCATTTATTCCTGTATTAAGTAAAAGCTCAATTCTACTTTGGCTAAGTCAATAGCTTTCTCGCTTGGAGTTATGTTGCTGTTTTATCCTTGCTGATAGAGCGGATTTAAATCGAGTGTCGTATAACCAAAACCAAAGTGATTACTTTAGCCAATCACAAACGCCACGGACAATACAGTGAACCAATCAAAACTTGAAATAGTGACATGTAACTGACGTAAAGCGCGGGAAAACGTGTGCGAAAGCTAAGAGTCTCGATTGGATTTTACTTCTGATTGGATGAAAAAGTGGCGCGAGTTTTCTAAACCAATCGTGTAGCGTAGATGATGCAAAACGGATTACCTTTCGTCACTCAAATTAGTATTGCTTAAGTAATACAGTTCCTTTCATACTAGCGGAAAATATTGCTAGAGGGTTTGACCGAATATTTTGCAAAACTCTTAAACCTGCTGCTAAAAAGTTATCATCTCGGAAAACTAATACCTGTATTTGATTGGAGCAGTCCAAACCCCGCCCCAGTGCCCTCTCTTGTAAGCTTCCAAGCGATATTTGAACGTTTTGCCGCCACTCAAAGCTTTAATCTGGTCAGCGTAGCCTAATATGGAGTAATCCCTTGATAGCGAAGGTCTTGTGGGATTCTTTAGTTTGACCTCGTCCTTTTTCCAACCGTTAGAAGCACTGGTGACTAGTAGAGTGTAAGCTCCTTGCTCTGATGTCATATCGCAGTACACCGGCAAGTACTCATGGGCGTTCTTACGAATCATGTAAAGTCCGTCTCTCAATGACGTCTTGCTTCCATGATTTTTTACTTTGATTTCATTGCAGGATCTCCTACGAAAACAATAAGACTGCAGTTAAGTGACCATTGCAGTGTCTTGTTCAGGGAGAGTTGCAAACTGGTTGTCGCTTCATTGTTTGGACTCTAGAGTTAAGCGGTTCTAGTTCTATGAGTTGTGATTTGCTGCCGTGTTTTGTTTTGGTGTACAAAATTTATTTACTTCAAGCAAGAGATTACAAGCTTTAAACTTATAGCAACAGAGATAGAGAAACACCAAAAAAAGGGAAAATAAAACAAAAGGATGGCACAAGGATTGTTAACTTTGGGCAAGATTACAATCCACTAAAAAAAAGTGCGCTTGAAATTTTCTTTTCCGTGACTCACTTCGGTGTTTTCCTTACCAGGTTCCCTCGCGCAGCCAGAGTCGTTTCACCCCAGTTCTTTGTCGACTTATCCCCTTTGTTGAATCCATCACAATCGCACCACTCAAGTCAGCTTCATTTTCAGCGCTCGTCAAAATTGCATCACCGGAAGTGGTCAAATACGGTAGTTTTCCTGTGGACATAACTTTACTGTCATCCCAGCGTCCCTGCTGGGAAACTAAATCCACGCATGCTTTGTATGATCGATCGGAAGTGAGCGAGCAACCAGCCTTAGCTGTCCAGAGGCCTTCCCAAGATTTCGCGCCATCTTCCTCGATACGATACTAGAAATTAGAAAGATTTAGACTCAACAATTTAAGTAGTAAAGCGGGTCGATACGGCGCGGGACATAACCAATCAAAGAGCCAGATTTCAAACACGTGACGAAACGGACTAGTTTTAAGGCCGCGCAGCTTTATGATTGGTTGTCTTATATCAATCCACTTATGTTACTCTACACAAAGATATACGTGGCAGATTGCCTTTCTACACCTTCTATTTTTCTCCATGGTAACGCAAAATGTTTTGAAATATTTTTAAAGAACTCGAGAGAAGGTTTAATAATAAGAGGAANCTTGACCAGCTTCCAGGGGTTTCTTAGCCCAATGACTGTTGGGAGCGTCTGTACCGGTGTTGCAAACTGATATTAAATGCAGAGTGTTCAATCAATTTGAAGCCTGAACTTTTTAGGCTTCCTTTAAAACTACATACAGTTGCGTTTCACTGAGGGGATCTCTTTCTGTTTAAAGCACTTTCTCCGTTAAGGGATTAAGAATTTATTATAACCACTTTGACACTAATGTTTATCTTTGTGTCTCATACTTATCGATCATGTTCAAAGTTCTTTGCATCTTTAGCCTTACTGATCAAAGTTCTTTACATCTTTAGCCTTACCGATCAAAGTTCCCCACTGGCGATCTCCAGTTGCGTTCCTTGAAGTGGTTAGTTTAGCGCCGGATATCCAAGGCATTCTTTTTTCGATTCCATAATCGTCGTATTTCCACTTGTCAAATGCTTTCATCAATTCGACATTTGTCTGCTTGTTGTTAGTGGCTACGAACGAGTAGCTTCTTGGAGCACGCCAGATTCCACCCCAACGACCTTAATAATATGACAGAAATGCCGCAGTTTTTAGAAACTTACGTCACGCTACACATTGTCAATATAAACTTGCCCATTCTCACAAGGGATACATCTCCGCCAGAAATATGATAAATAACTACATACAACAACATGAACGATAACAGCAACACACCAAACAAGAATGAAATATGAGCGACTAAAGGTCGCTAGACCGTAACGGAAAGTTGATTGACAGATATGCTGACTACAGTGAGCTCCTATGCTGTGTTATGAACAACCGGTNTTGAAAAAATGTCTTTATTTTTTCCGTTCAAATATAGGTTACGATTCTTGCAGTTAGCTATCAAGCTAAACATAGTTTTGTCAAGTACATTTAATTTATCCTGTGACCATTTGAAAACCCGTATGTTGTTCTTGTTTTACCTGTTTGGCAAACAGTCTCTGGGTCCAAATTCCCTCGACATTTGCATTTTCCCTTGCTTGTACAAACCTGGTTTAATGACACATATATTTTATTAATCATTAAATCTGGCCGCATCATCTCATAAACGCAAACCATATGAATGAACTTTTTTGTAGCCCAGTGAGGTAATCGAATACAAACTTTAGAGCCTCGAAAGCCTTGAGAGTTGTTAGTCGATAAGTAGCTCTCTAGTCTAGTCTATTCAGTGCGGCGTTTTCTTAGTTTGTCAATTGTCTAGGGGATGGACGGTAGAGAGGGAGCAAAGATCGTCATCGTTTTCGAAAAGCTCCGTTTTCCAAATGTTTTCCATCCACACTTAAACACAAAGCTGACTTTTTCAAATTCCTCCGATTTGAAGAGGGTTTTCGAAAACCTCTCCCTGGAAAATTCGAAAATGTCTCCCTAGAAACAATGCTGAGTTTTCACATTTCTCCGGTGTAATGTGGACGAGGCCTAAGTGTCTCAGTTAGAGGACTAGACCGTACGTTACCATAATCAGAATCAGAATGAGTTACAGTATGTCAACACATTCAATAAGTTAATTTACACATTTGAAAATTACAAACTATTAACACATCTTCTTACCCCTTTTCCCGAGCATTCCAAACCATTACTGGCCTTTGGACACTGCTTAGAAACCAGTTGATCTACACTAGTGCATCGATTTGCCACACAAATCTATGGTAAGTCAAAAGACATGGTGATGTTTATTCTCAAGTATAGTATATGACCGTTTCAAACAAGGTTATACTACATCCTTAAAGACATGGCAATGAATTAACGTTTAGTTTTGGTATAGTTGGTGTTCAAATACGATATTCTTTAAGGTTAGCTTTGGGAATTATAATTTTAGGGTGTACTGAGTTCGTTACCTTATTGACTCCACACACTGTTCCATCTTTGACCATACCAACAAGTTCGTTTCCAGTACCTCCTTTACGAGACGCCGCGCTGCAATCAAAACGGGATAATGTCACAAATGTGTGTAGTACAGCAATACTGATAAACAAACAAGCGAACTTCTCAAAGAACATTACTTAATCGTAATTAAAGCGCTAGCTACTCGAAACTGCTTGTTGATACTCTGTTAGCTTCAGAACGTTAACAGGGAGCTATTTCTTGCTGACTGTGAAATGGGAAACTTTTATTCATACCTGCATTTCTCTCCAGTAGGTAAAACTTTTAATTCGTAGTAACTCCCATAGTCCACCACGGGCCTCGTTCTTGTCGCTGAATAGCACTGCAGCTGACCGCATTTAGCATTTCTGCAGATTCACAACAACATGGAAGCGATAAATTCTGTAATAAGTTCGTCTCGTTACCCTCGGAGTAAATAAATAAAATGGAGTGGCGCGTGCAAGAATATAATATCAGAAATGTTGAATTCAGTTTAAGTTTAATCGTTGGCAGAGTTTTTCATGAGTCATGAAAATTGTCATCCTCGGAGACCTAGGGGGCAGTCAGTGGGGTCGGGAGAAATTGAAAACGGACTGGGCCCCCCCGGGAGGGGCTCACATATGGAATGGTCGGGGATGCTCGTCGTCTCCCCTAGGGGTATAAATCAAGGATCCTGGCCCCACTTGGGCTGTTCATGACGAAACGCCGCTATATTTAGCTGTCAAAGTATCTTTTTGTGTGCACTCGAAGAAATGATAATTTAAAAAAAAAAATTCTTATTTCCGTTTTTAGGCCACGCCCAGATTGTTCTCTTTTGGGGGTTTAATTCAAATTTTCCGATTAGCATCCCCGACCTTTTCACATGGGAGTCCACCCCCTCCCCCCCTCGGGGACTAGGTCTCCCAGGAAAGAATGCATCGTCAAAACTTAGGAGGTTTTTGCTTGCTAGCATTGTTTTTCACTACTTTTAAAGTCACTGGGAGATCTTTTACACACAAGTTAATTACGCGGCGTTTTGTTGACCTTGGAATTCTATTGAGATAAGTAAATCCTGCTACTCACTCTCTACCACGACATGGAAGATTTGTCATTGGACTACAGCTACCAAAGCCCTGGGCATCACCATTCAGTTTTTCGTAACAAGCAGAGGGAGCATTTGAAGCTTCTGTAAAATACATTTATGACTTAAGATACAATTTATCAATCGAAACCATTTAAAAATACTAGGGAATACGCATGTGAGAAATATATTTCTTAATTACCTAGGATTGATAAATTTTAATTTTCGTTTAAACTAAATATTATTGACGTATTCAAGTGTCGTAAAACCAAAACCAAACAAGTTACTCACCTACTAGACTACTCAGCCATTCAAATCATAATAAAACCAAAATCAGTAAAAAACTCAGTTAAAAACCGTTCTAAGTATACTGTAAAAGGTGGTCATTGTGGCGTCAATAACTTTTTAATTAATATTGTATACCATGCACTGCATATACGGCTTTATCGCACTATTAGCACGTCAATGCCTTAAAAGTTCTAGAATTCAAGATCAGAAGAAAGTATTTTTTGGTGTTTGTGATTCCTCGCTTGATGAACATTGGGTGGTTGTGTGTCTTTGACCTTTTTTACTCGTTGAAAAAGCTTAGTTTACGCTGTAAATCTAGATGATTTTTTCTTGGTATTACCTTGTGCATTGCAAGTTTAAGTTAATTCCAAGAAGAACTGCTTCGAGAGGATTTCGTTTGAAGTTTGTCCCGAAAAAGAAATGATGATTTTCAAAAACAACGACATACAAGTCTCGCATGAACTTATTACCTTACTTATTATCCTACCTGGTCCCCACAAATCTCGGCATTGTGTATCAGCTGACGGTACACACTTTCCACGGTAGCAAACTAACTGAAAACATAAATAGTTTGGAAAAACGTTTTTTTAAAACTTGTTAAAATAAGAAATGTATTAAAATGGTTAATGGTTTCAAATACCTTTCACTGTAACATTTGAACAGTAATTGGAAATAACGTGGTCGACTAGTGAGATTACGGAACATTTTGCTGATGTAAAACTTTGAAGGCAAAAGACCATATAACATAGAATTAGACCGCTTTGTTGTTTGTTTGTTTGTTTATTGATGGATCTGTACAGTCATAACGCTACAAAGACATTCAAGCTACAACTTATGGATATCAGCCTTCTGAAGAACAACACTGTAATAAACACTCACTGAAGTTCGAGGTTTACTCGACCACACAGTCCACCGCTGACCATCCAGACTGTACTGCAAAGAGAAAGCTGTGACATCACCGGTATCAGTTCCTCTTTGAAGGATCGCTGATACTTTTTTAGCCTGAAATTCAATCAGTTTAAAAGAAGAGAGTTTACCATCAGCATATCCAAACTTTTCTTCTAGAATTAGATTAGGAAATATTTCTACTCGGCTATGTGTAAAATTCATTCGTACCTTCCCCAGGTCAATCTGGACAAACTGGTTTTTGTCTTTTTTGGCTGCGCACCAACCTCTAGCGCTGTTCAACCTCGCCTCATTAGCTGGGTAACCTGGCAAGCTGCTGGATGCTGAGATGCGGTTGTCAGGGACAGATTGGTTATCTGCCACGCCCAAGGAAAGCAAGCAATCTGATTTTTTAAAAACAAATCGGTTCCTACCTGATCTGTAAATGCATGTAATCGTCACATATTTATTCATCATGCTCTACCGCAAATCCCTGAATCTGATAAGCTCTTCCCACACAACTATTTGATGATACAGTCAGCATGTATTGCCCTGACGTGTGGCCACAATCAGTAATAACATTAACCAATTACTTGTAGCATAGATTATCCTTGATTTATTAGTTGTTGCGTTGTTATATCCACTATTTGAAAAGTCAATAATGAGCCCCATTCATGAAACTCTCACCAATTGCTAATTAGAGATTACAAACAATCATTTTAGTGCTGAAATGCTTCTTCATTTGGTGTTGTTTTCTTGTTGAATTCTTACCCTGTGCCAAGAAATGAAATGCGAGTCTTTCTTCGTCACAGCCCGCCCATAAAATAAGTTTGACACCGTCACTCGCTGCACCGCCGTTGGGATGCACACAAAATCCGCTAGCCACATGACGAAGTGATTTTCCTGAAAATTATGAAGTGTTACATTTTAATAAATCAACTTGAGGCATGTAAAAGTAATTTTCTAGTTGGCAGTTTAAGTTACCGCCTGGCGGAATGACAGCGATCAACGGACTGACTGACTGTCTGTCTGGTCAACTGACTGACTACCTGACTGACTGACACATTGGCTCACTGTCCTCACTGACTGACTGGCTGACTTACTATCTGAAGGACTGATGAACAGACACGGACCAAGTGAGTGTATGATCAGTGTGTGTCTGAGTAAGTGACTAAAGGGACTGACTGACTGAAAGACGGACAGACAGAGAGACAGACAGACAGACAGGCAAACAGACGGAATAAGTGAGTGCTCAATCCGTGTCTGAGTGAGTGACGGAAGTGACTGACAGCCTTTCAATCAAAATTTTTAAACTAAACCTACGTGTTGTTCGTTCAAACTTGGACTGTTCTTTGTCACAGTTTCCACTGATGACTAATGGAACTCCATATCCGCCTTGCCCTCCTTTTGGACAGATCTTCTTCCGGCTGCAATGATGTCTTAGCACTCCATCTGGCGATAGAAGGAACTTGGTAGATGCCCCTTGACATTGTCCTGGTTTTCTGTAAAATAACTCCGTTCCATCTGCAGAAGGGCAGGATGACAAACCCTGTGGCTTCACGCACAGATTACCAAAGCCTTGTATTGTAGTAGCAGTTCTCCGAGAAACTGAAATAGTATCAACCACAATACACGGCGTTATCTTTTCAGTCAAAAGAGCATATGATCCCATCATTGTTTGCAAACAGTATTTTTTGATTTGACATTTATTTAATAGCACGGGCTGCTTATCGCGAAAGCCGTATGGCATTTGCACTTAGTTTTTTAAAAAACAAAATTAGGCTCGTGGAGAAAAATAATAGCAAGAATAAGCACAAAAATGAAGAAAAGAAAGGAAAAAAAGCAGTTACGAAGTGATTGATTGGGAGATTAAAGACTGTACAGAATAAAACAAGTTTACATTAAGTTGGAAGTTGATTCTAGGAACTTGATTTAAAAGGCAGTCAATTTTTCTCCTATCAGATGGGGAAAGCCATTTATCTTCCAACAAGCGTGCAGCGGAGGCAAACAATGATTCACGCAGAGCAGCAAAACTTGGGCAGTACAAAAACTGGTGTTTGGCATCCTCAGTAGCAGCATCATACAGAGCAAAACGAGATCACAGATACAGAATAATATCTCTTAAAAAGCTCATATTTTAAGGTGTGATCCTCTTTATTTTTGGTTTATATGACTATCGGGTTGCTCTGTGCTTTGGATTCCTAAAGAATACCTGTGAATTTATTCGTAAGTTGTTTGCATTACCAGAAGTTCTTGCTTCACAACCAAGTAGGTCCATTTTCATACACAGGCCCCTCTCCCAGTACTGCGGGTTAATTCTGACGTGTCGTGCTATAATTGGCTGCGGCAGCTTCGTCATCTTCCCATCTTCAACGTACTTCCCCTGGAGTAGCTTGAAATGGCATTGAAACGTAAGAAAAATCAATGTGAATATCGAGTAGCTCATCGGCCAAATCAGAGGAGGCAGTAACAAAGGTTATGTGTCTAACGTTTGGGTTAATACTTCACAGTCACGTTGCCACAATGCCGACTTCGAATTTCACCGGTTTCATTTAAGTTGCTGAAGCACACATATT